GTTAGCTGTTTGACAACTACTCTTTCAAGGATGTGTGATATAAAGGAAGGTTGGAGATTGGCCTATAATTAGCTAAGACTGCTGGGTCTAGAGATGCTTTTTGAGTAAAGGTTTAACTACAGCCAGCTTGAAGGTCTGTGGTACATAGCCGATCATTAGAGATAGGTTGATCATATTTAAGATCGAAGCATTAATTAATGGCAGGACTTCTTTGAGCAGTTTTGTAGGAATGGGGTCTAAAAGACACGTTGATGGTTTGGAGGAAGTAATTATTGAAGTTAACTCAGAAAGATCAATTAGAGAAAAAGAGTCTAACTTAACATCAATGGTACTAAGAGTAGCTGTAGATAATATTACATCTGTGGGATGATTACTGGTCATTTTTTCTCTAATGATAAAAATGTTATTAGTGAAGAAGTTCATGGAGTCATTACTAGTTAACGTTAAAGGGATGGTTGGCTCAAAAGAGCTCTGACTGTTTGTCAGCCTGGCTACAGAGCTGAAGAGAAACCTGGGGTTGTTCTTATTTACTTCAATCAGTGATGAATAGTAAGATGTTCTGGCTTTGCGGAGGGCTTTCTTATAAAGCAGCAAACTATTTCTCCAGGCTAAATGATGATCCTCTAAATTTGTGACACTCCAGATTACGAGTCATCTGCTTTAGGCTACGTGTTTGAGAATTATACCACGGAGTCAGGTACTTCTGATTAGAGACCTTAGTTTTCACAGGAGCTACAGTATCCAGAGTTGTACGTAGTGAGGAGGTGAAATTATTAACAAGATAATCGACCTCTGTTGGGGTAGCGTTCAGATAGCTGCTCTGCTCTGTGTTGGTACAGGGCATTGGAGATGATAACAGTGGGTGGATTATATTCTTAAACTTAGTTACAGCGCTTTCAGAAAGACATCTACTTTGATAAAGTCTACTCTTCACCGCTGTGTAATCAATTATTGTAAATTTAATGTTATCAGGAAATGATCAGACAGGAGACGTTAAATGTTCAGTTGCAGAATGCTTGCAGCATTTTTAGCATCTACATGAATGTTAAAATCACCCACAATAATTATTTAATCTGAGCTGAGCACTAAACCAGATAAAAAATCTAAGAAATTAGACAGAAACTCAGAGTAACGCCTACGTGAATGATAGAGAACTACAAATAAAACTGTTTTTTGGTTTTCCAGCTGGGGTGAACAAGGCTAAGAATCAGGCTTTCAAATGAATTAAAAGTCTGTCTGGATCTTTGGTTGATTAATAAGCTGGATCGGAAGATTGCTCCTTCACCCCCTCCTCAGCCTGTGCTTAGAGGATTCTGACAGTTAGTCTGACTCAGGGATGGTGAACGTTTAAAACGAACACAATCATCCTGCTGTACCCAGGTTTCTGTAAGGCAAAGGAAACCCATTTGTTTAGTTTGCACGACCAATCAAATATCAGTCCATGTACTAAAACCTTAACACATCCTGTGTAGAGGTGGTCAGATTGTGATAAGAGCTTGAACCTTAGGTCTGGTGTATTTGGGTGGTTTACTGTATTTCATATTTTGAGGGCATAGCTCTGTAGACGCGTGTGTTTCCATGACGTATTAGTGGAGAATGAAGCACAGTGCTGCAGACTGTTCTCAACAGGCCAACGCAGCACATTAGCTCTGCACTGAGGGAGAGAGGAGGGAGGGCCGACAGGCAGTGGAGATGATAAGGAAAGGTGGAGAGAGGAATGGAAAGAATACTCGGTGTGAGAGAAAGAGAGAGAGAGAAAATGGGAGAGCACTAATGATCTGATGGTCTGCAGTCTTTTCCCTCCACATTCTGTGGATCTCAGCAAATACTTGTTCTGCTTCTGGCCTGTCTCTCTCCCTCTCCCTCTCGTTGGTGGTGGGGGGACAGTCTTGGAGAGTAACAGCGATAGAGAGAGAGAGGGAAGTGGGCGTGAGGCAGCACCATGTCCCTCCTGCTCTTCCTAATTGAGCCAAGTGTTTTAGTAGATTAAAAAAGTGTGGATGAAGCTGAGACAGAGAAAGACGATGAGAGCTTTATCACTTGCGACCTTAATAAAACTGCAACAAATAATTCAGAATTTTACATTGAACAGATTTAATGTTAATATGTTAGTTACAGCATCGCTAAAGTATTTAAAAACTATCGTGACCATAAAACTCCCTGGAACGTAAAAGCGCTAGAACGATCGTTCACAGAGTCTTCAGCAAACATACTCGGTGCCTCAAACGTCCACAGCATGGCCCCACCTATAGGACGCGATGTAACATCACACTGAGTTCTACAACCCAGTCAAAAACTATGGAATCACCACATTTGGAGAATGTTCATTCAACTTATTTATTTTGTATCAAACATTTTTGTAGCAACTATTTTTGTTTATTAATTGAACACGAAACATCCCTCAAAAATATTACTTTTATTAATTATACAGATTTTTTAGATCAAATAGAGGGAAACCAGTATGGAGTCACTCAATGCTGAGAAATAGTTATAGAATTACTGTAAAGATTTTCCAAATCTGCCATCAATATATTCAGACATGCACAGGCTTAGATTTTAAGAGGGACACGCCCATCGCAGTATGTAGAAAACACCATTTCAGGGTCGCTGGAGCCTTTCCCAACAGGTCGCCAGTCTGTCACAGGGCTAACACATAGAGACAAACAACCATTCACACTCAGAATTACCCCTATGGGCAATTTAGAATGACCAGTTAACCTAATTCCACTAACTGCATTTCTGTGGACTGTGGGAGGAAGCCAGAGAACCGAGGAAACCCACGCAAACACGAGGAGAACATGCAAACTCCACACAGAAAGGACCCAGCCGGGTGGTGGAATAAAACTCTGGACCTGCTTGCTGTGAGGCAACAGTGCTAATCGCTGCACCACTGCCCGTGTAGAAAACGTGCATTTCTCAAAGCCAGACGACATGAAAAAAGGCCAAAATATATACTGAAATAAACAACTGTTGCCTTCCTTCAGAAATATTTAATTTTATTCCCAAAATGTGAATTATGACTTAACTGGATATGGTCAGTTACAAGTTATTAGTAAAGTTTTTATGTGAAGAGGAATACCCATTTTACCCCCACAAAATCCTCAGCAAAGTGTTTACTAAGGTCGACCGTGGCTCAGGGGGTTGGGAAGCGTATCTGTAACCGGAAGGTCGCCGGTTCGATCCCTGGGCTCTCTGTCCTGGTCGTTGTGTCCTTGGGCAAGACACTTTACCTTACTTGCCTACTGGTGTTGGCCAGAGGGGCCGATGGCACGATATGGCAGCCTCGCTTCTGTCAGTCTGCCCCAGGGCAGCTGTGGCTACAACTGTAGCTGCCTCCACCAGTGTGTGAATGTGAGAGTGAATGAATAGTGGCATTGTAAAGCGCTTTGGGTGCCTTGAAAAGCGCTATATAAATCCAATCTATTATTATTATAGATCAAGGGAACAAACGGATTTCTACTCAACCACACGTCTTTGACACCAGAATAGTCACCTCCTGCTGGCAGAAAGAACTCAGTGTTAGGGCACGTTAGCATTGGCTTTACTTTTCACAGTTGGAAGTTATGTCCATTGGAATGGTGAGCATGGTGGTGCAGTGGTTAGCACTGTTGCCTCACCCTGCTTGGGCCTTTCTGTGTGGCGCTTGCATGTTCTCTCCAGGTAATCCGGCTTCCTCCCACAGTCCAAAGACGTGCAGTGGGGTTAGGGCAACCAGCGATTCCAAATTGCCCATAGCTGTAAATGTGAGAGTGAATGATTGTCTGTGTGTAAGCTCTGTGATGGATTGGTGATCTACCCCAATACTGAAACCTGAAACGAGGAACAGAAGGCTCCGTTTTATATGCAGTCTATGGATATTCATGCATCACACCAAAGAAAGAAACTGCTAACATGTGAATATTCAGAATGTGCAAAGTTCTAAACATTACAAACCTTTGCTGAAACCCACGTGGGTGATTAAACTGACATGAACAAGTGACTGGTACAAATTTAATTAGGTTACTTCACAAACAAAGGAGACAAAAGCAGCCTGAATTCATATCATCTTGTTCCACTCTTCATGTGTGACTTGGCAGGGACAATACTGAATTAAATCCACTGAGAATAATTATTTCAAAGTGGGAAAGAATGGCATCGATCCTAACTGGGTTATATTCCAACACATGTTTTCATTTACTGTACATGAATACATACTTTTACTGTAAATGGATGCAGAAAACATATAACCTACTGCATAGAAATGCAACAGAATTTCAGGTATGGAAGAGGCTGATGCTCAGATTTTCCTGGCTGAGAATTCCAAATAAGGAAAACCCCAAAACAAGAGAAACACACAAGTTTTTTTTTTTAAAAAAATATATGGTTTGTGATCCGTCAGCCAGAGTGAGGTTTACCCCCTCCTCTCAAAGTCAGAACTGTAAATTAGAGAGAAAACAAGAGCCATGCAACAATAATTCAGTGCCACTAATGTTACTGAGTGCATTCTCCTGCAGCCAGTTTTAAGGATGTGGTAGAAAGTTGGACACCAGGAAAGCGAAACCTACTAAATAAATGAAATTCCTGAATAAGGTTTGTTTCAGCAGGCATAGAGATGCTAATGTCTAGATGCGCATCAGTATTTCAGCATTTCCAGAAGGAAAAAAAAAGAAGCAAATGATCACGTGCATGCTCTCGCTCTCTACTGCTTAGTTCAACACATCTGATTTCTCTGCACAAGTACGGGCTGCAGAGACCCACGGGATGAGAATAAGAGCAAATGTATTCATGTTCAGGTATTCATGTGGAGGTCGCGAATTCAACATCGTCAAAGGATTTGAATCACACGAACTCAGTAAATCAATCGCGCGGGCAGGCAGTCAATCAGCGGGGAAACCTATTGATTCATAAAATCCGCATCCCACACATTCTCTCTTTCGTACATATACACGCGCCTGCAGATCCCCCCTCTCTCTCTTAGAGAGGCAGAGAGGCTGACTCCTCCTTCCTTTCCTTCTCTCACTTGTGTCTCCTTGTTGGCGGTACAGTATAACACAAGCATACAGATCGGGGACCGACGGTGGATGGGGAAAGGCAGTAGCCGCAGCAGCAGCAGTCGGACGTACCGACCGAAGGATGCTCCAGCACCATGACTTGCTCGGCGTCAGATAGCGAGAAGATCGTCATCAACTGCGGTGGAATTCGACACGAGACCTACCGGAGCACCCTAAAGACGTTGCCGGGGACGCGTTTGTCTTGGCTGACAGAGCCCGACGCCTACAGCAACTTCGACTACGATCCCAAGTCCGACGAGTTCTTCTTTGACCGCCACCCGGCCACCTTCGCCTTCATCCTCAACTACTACCGTACCGGCAAGCTCCACTGCCCTAACGATGTCTGCGGGCCGCTCTTCGAGGAAGAGCTTGCCTTCTGGGGCATCGATGAGACGGACGTGGAGGCGTGCTGCTGGATGAATTACCGACAGCACCGTGATGCAGAAGAAGCCCTGGACAGCTTTGAGACCCCCGAACCGGATCCACCCGAGGACGACCCTGCACTCACCGGCGGAGCGGATGGCGACCTGAAACGTCTGTGCATGCAGGAGGACGGCCGCAGGGCGACACGGTGGGAGGTGTGGCAGCCCTGGATGTGGGCACTGTTTGAGGATCCCTACTCCTCCAAATATGCCCGGGTGAGTGGCAAGTGTAACGTTCAATCTGTGTTCCCTTTTTTCTCGTGCGCGCTCTGCAACTCATGCGTTTGGCACTGTTTTGGCCACTGCGCATTGTTGCGCGTAAATGTTCTCCGGATACTGTTGGAGGATGAAAGGACGTTCAGTTCTCTGCGGGTTAAAAAAAAGCCACAGTGGTGTACGTTTGATCTTTCTCATGAATCATTTTGCAGGAGGATTGTGGCTCCTGCTGATGGCATTTTTTTCAGTGCGCATCAGCCCATCCATCTCACAAATGTTTCACAAGTGTGCATCCATCCTGAATGTCTATCGTACACCAGACATGTTTTTTCCATATCTATTTCTTGTCAATCCATACTTTGTGAAAATTATTCAACAGTCTAGAGGTCACCTCTATGAGTAAAGTGATCAAAATGTAATAAAGGAACGTCAGCTGTGCATCCTCACACTTCATCCTAGAGGTTTGTCTCAGTACATGTGTACATGTAGTTTACATAGACTTTAGTTAGGTAGGTACTGCTCTTGCTCCAATGTTGTTCACAACTGCTTTGTCTGTTTCTAAATGTTGTTGCCTCCCAGGAACTCACTTCAAAATGATTCAACTGTTCTGTCCTGACTATAATGAGTCAGAAGATCAGCTTTGTAGCTTATTTATACTATATAACACCAATGACCTACAACAGTAATCTCAGCATGCTGTGTATATGTAGGAGTTTTATCACAATCAGAAGTCAAAGGCCCTAGAAAATAGGAAAGTATGCCCTTACAATCAAGCAAGAACCGAGCTGTCTTTTAATAGAAAGATAAATATCAGAATGCAAAAATAGAATAGAATAGAATAGAATAGAATAGCCCTTTTTGGTCATTGTACATGTACAACAAAACCAGCGGTGCCAGAATAAAATGTACACAGCAGACAGCAGGAATAAATAACAAACATGAGAAGTATTTACAATGAAGAGGGACATACACAAAAAGACGAGAAAGGCACACATTTAGAACAACATAGCTGTAAAGTGCTTGAAGAAGTCCGGAGAAAGGACTTGGTCTAAATAGAGTCCATGTGTGAGTAGCCTGAGTGATGAAGGTTTCTGAGACCATGGCTCAGGTGAGGTGGGTGGGCAGGGGTGGGCTGTGGGGGGATAGTGCTTGTTAACAGTCTGAATGGTCCAGGGGAAGAGGCTGTTAGTGAGCTTGGTGGTGTGGGACCCGATTGGCCTGAGCTGCTGACCTGCTGGTCAAACAGGTGGTAGGGGGAGTGCAATGGGTCACCTGGGATGGCCCTGGGCCCTGAAGCAGCAGGATGTGGCGATGGCCTCGGGGGGTGGCAGAGGACAGCCAATGAGTCTTTTTGGGCAGTTCCTGTTCCAAGTTGCGGCTGGGAGTAAGTGGAAGGAGAAGAGAGGAAAGAGGAGCGCAAAGAGACCACTAACAACAAATGGCCTTCTAACCTGAACTTGCAGCTGGTGTTTGTGTGGACACAGAGTCCACGGGGCTCCACGAGAGAACAGGAGCTCACCTTCATTTTCAGTTTTCACTATTCTTGAATTAAATTCCATCTAAACTGCCTCCTGTTGAATCTGGTGCAGTTCTTAGATCCAGTGATTGAAAAAAGTGATTTGTTTGACAGTACAGCATCACAACATCATGGTGACAAGAACTGGCTTTGATATGTAACGAGCTTCTTGGTTGCATGAGAATATTTTGTGGAAGGTGAGACTATGTTAAACCTTTTCGCTGGCACCAAAGCAGTTTGAAGATGTTTATGTGCAGCTGGTCTGCAGTCTGCTTTTCAACACAGAGGAGAAACTGTACTAGCTCAGGACTAGATTAGGTCACATGCTAATTGGAAGGTTAAGCGTGTGATCCCTGGCTGCTCCAGTCGGCATGCCAAAGTATTCTTGGGCAAGATACTGAAGCCCAGTCTGCTCTGTGGTGTATTTATCAGAGGCAGAAAGCACTTACATGTAGACAGTGTTTGGGTAAATGATGCGTTTTGTACAGAGTGGTGACTAGAAGGATGCTGAATAAGAACCAGGCTATTTACCATAAAGTGGGCTTTACTATCTAGAGTATGGTATTTTAAATATGCTGCTTTTTTACCCACTTTAAGTTTACTGAAAGTTCTGCTGATTAGAGAAAACTATAAGATGTCAGCAAAGCTATCTGATGGAATTCTCTTGGTTTTTATAGTGTCAATGCAACAACAGTCATTTCGAGGAGAGCTGCGTTGTGATGATTGATACTCTGAACTTTTAGTAGAATTAAGGCAAATCAGCTTCTGACAAATGCTGCAATGCACCAGTGCACAAACCAAAGTGGGTGAGATTTAATTTGTAAAAACCACAGGTGTTGTTTTTGTGAAAAACTCAAGTAAACTTGTTAGATTACTACAGTAAATAAATAATTTTCAGACGTTATTTTCTCAAGCTGAAGACAAGGCTGCTGGATTAATTTAATCAAACTGTAACCAAGCTGTGGCCCAGCACCTCATCCACATGTGAAACAGCAATCAGACGTCAACAGTGATATAGGTGAACATTTCTATCAGCATGTCTGCTGTATCGGTCAAAGAGGATCTCACTCAGTTTATGCAAGTGTTGCAGTTCAGAGAGGCTTGTTCCAACCCAGTGTCCTCACAAAATACAGTCAAATAGAATGATGCTGCAACTTTCAGTGTAAGTGCAGGACACAGAATGCCCTTTATGCAGAAAAGCAGGCAGTCTGGCTGTAGATGGTCCTCGTGTCTATACAGGGGACCCCAGTTTGTGCAGACAAAAACCTCATACGAACCAAGATCTTTTCTTAACCATAGTGTTGCGTCCATATGTAGATATCACAGGAATGAGGACCTGTGGAAGCAGGTCTGCAATGTAAATGGCAGCAAACGAGTGACTGAATAATGAGGGGTGATAGTACAAAAAAAGACAAGCTGATGTCATGGTTGAGGGGGTTAGGACAGCATCAGTGTGACAGTGGAAGTGACTTTGAAAGTGTTGCAGTCAATAGTTTTGGTGCCAGCACTGGGACAAAAAGGTTGGGTTGAAAGGTAGATGGTCAGCGCAGCAGCAACACTCAGGTAAGCTAAAGTCCAGCTTCTGTTAGCCGATTAGCTTGTTTCAGGATGAAGGTTTAAATGTTTTTTCACAAAGATATTTGACAAAGAAAAGCAGGACGGCATGAGTTGTTGTCCTGTGGCGTCTGTCCTTAAGTATGTGTATTATATTTGCAAAGGTGCCAGGTTTGCCCATTTCTGTCTGTCTTCTGCTTCACAATCTACATGGTCCATCTCCGATCTCGTTCTCTCGTGTCATCGCACCGACAGCTCACTGTGGTTTATTACTGTGCTACATAATCAGAGATGAGTGCTATATTGCTTATTATTGCTATTCAGTCCCTTCTCACCAACCCTCCACCCAATATGCTCTCACTCCCCCACCTCGTTCAACCCCCCACCCCCAGCTCTCTGCTTGTGCTATAGCGTAAGACTGCAGTCCCCATAGTAGCTGACTGTGCTGTAGTCTGCTGCAGAGTAGGAGAGAGAGAGAGAGGCACAAACAGGGGGAGGGAATTACAGAATGTGAGGTGTTTTTGGTTGAGGGTGAATTCAGCAGCAGAATAAAAAGAAGCAAAAGAGAATGGAGCCACTGCAATCCCCCCCCTATTTCTTTCATTCTTTACTTTTTTCTTCCCCCAATCTCTCAACAAGACAAGCAAATGCACACACGAGCTTCACTTTCACACACTTGCTAGGCTGCTACACACAGAGTTCATTGTAGCAGTGTGTCATTTTGGTCCTAGTACTTATAGCTCTTTCCTACTGTATTTAAGCCCCAAAGCACTTTCTATTATGAGGCTCATTCAGCTTATTCACACACATCACACAAGCACTTTTTTCTGTCCCTAAGTGCTTTTGTCTAACATTCACACTCGGATAAATGCTTCAGTGGTTCAGTATTCTGCTTCATGGATAGATCCAGACCGCAGGAGCCGGGGATCAAACCACCAACCTTCCGACAATCTCCTGAGCCACAGCTGCTCGTTTTGTTCTTCCATGTTATTGTTATGTCAGCGGAAAGGAAAAAATAGTCTCTTTATGATGTCGTTCCATTTACAGTTAACACTGAAGATCTTCAATAAAAAGTAATTAGTAATAGATTTTATTAACCTCCTATTTAAAAGTGAACAAACTTGACACTCTGATGTGTCCCTCCATACTCTGCCACCCACTGGTCATTTAATGTTACTACAGATGTATGACGTGTCATTTAACCCTGTCATGCATGAATTCTGATGACCTCAATCAGTATTTTTTTTTCATCTTTTCATGACTGAAGATGAATAAAAATTCTTTAGAAAAAAAGCTGAATGTTTTTGGAAGTAGTTTTTAGTTTGTTTTTAGTTTTAGCTATTTTAGGGGGATATCTGTGTGTGCAGGTGACTATTACTGTGCAGAATTATTAGGCAACTTAACAAAAAACAAATATATACCCATTTCAATGATTTATTTTTACCAGTGACACCAATATAACATCTCCACATTCACAAATATACATTTCTGACATTCAAAAACAAAAACAAATCAGCGACCAATATAGCCACCTTTCTTTGCAAGGACACTCAAAAGCCTGCCATCCATGGATTCTGTCAGTGTTTTGATCTGTTCACCATCAACATTGCGTGCAGCAGCAACCACAGCCTCCCAGACACTGTTCAGAGAGGTGTACTGTTTTCCCTCCTTGTAAATCTCACATTTGATGATGGACCACAGGTTCTCAATGGGGTTCAGATCAGGTGAACAAGGAGGCCATGTCATTAGTTTCTCTTCTTTTATACCCTTTCTTGCAGCCACGCTGTGGAGTACTTGGACGCGTGTGATGGAGCATTGTCCTGCATGAAAATCATGTTTTTCTTGAAGGATGCAGACTTCTTCCTGTAGCACTGCTTGAAGAAGGTGTCTTCCAGAAACTGGCAGTAGGACTGGGAGTTGAGCTTGACTC